CCACACCTTGTTCAGATTGTGACCTCTTGATGGTTCAATTTTTATTTACTTGACTGCCTCGGTGGTCTAGTGGTTTAGCATATCGCTTTAATATCCGATGGTCGCGGGTTCGATTCCTAGGTACAAACAGTTGCGTTCTTGAGTATGATTGTTTGTGAGTGACCGACATAGTCCGAAGAATTGCGACTTTGAAGTGGCAATGGGCAGGGCACATAGCTCGTAGGACAGATGGCCGTTGGGGCAGTAAAGTCCTCGAGTGGCGACCACGGACCGGAAGACGCAGCGTGGGAAGGCCTCCAGCAAGGTGGACCGACGATCTGGTCAAGATCGCGGGAAGGCATTGGATGCGAGCAGCGCAGGACCGATCGTCGTGGAGATCTTTGGGGGAGGCCTATGTCCAGCAGTGGACGTCTTCCGGGCTGCGATGATGATGATGTATGATTGTTTGTACTGGTGGTACGAGGTGTTTTCTATGTATAATATGAATTTATTTATAAAAAAAAGTAAGCCATGTATTTGTATCAATTGTATTGTACCAAAACAGAAGCTCTGCTTGGGACTAGATGGCGTTGTGTGAATTGTCCTGAGATATATTATTACATTTTCGTTGTTACGTATCAGTGTAAATTGACGAGTCTAGTTAGCGAACTCTGAATAATAGCGAGCAAAATGTATCTATGAAGGTCGCAGTGCTACAGGTCTAAACACCTGGCAACAGCCAAAACTGTCAATAAAAAAAATCAACTTAATGAGTCAATTTATATTTCTGACTAACTTTCTGGTGAAGTAATTTTTTTTTGTTGTTGCGGTTGCTTTCTAGGCTTGCTTCCTGTCGAACCTCGGCTCAGGTCGTCGTAATTTCGATCCCCGTTTGTAGACAGGGATCGAGCGGAGGGGGAGATGTGATGACAGTCGTGTATTAAAATTGGCTGATGCCTCGCTCCGTCATACTTGTGAACGTCATACTATTCTATTGAAGTTATTATAGCAGATTAAATTATTTTGTATAGTGACATTAATTTATGATTGGTGTATTCATCCTAAAATTTGTTTTTATCGATTATGATAAAAAATATACAATTTGACTTGGAAATAGTATTATACCTACGCAAGAGAAGAGTTTCCTGTCATTTGTAATGAAATGGTTCAATCTACAGTCTGATATTCTATTCTATGATTTAACTAATTATACAACAGAGCAAAAATTTTTTAATCGAATAAACTTCAATTGAAACAATTTCGAATAGTCATACCTATTTTATTTAATCTTCCATTTATTTAGAAAGCATCAGAAGAAGAACGAGCAAGTGACTTGCTTGTTGCTCTTTTGTCTACCGCTCATTCAGAAGGCTGTCTCATTACAAGAAGATGTGGTAGATAAAAAACAAATTGTTATGACTATTCAAAAGTGCTTAAATTAAGTTTATTTGAATAAATGATTTTCTATTCTATTCTATTCTATTCTATTCTAAGAACGAGTGAGAAAATTGCGTGTTGCTCTTTTGCTTTTTATTAGTGTCTATAAATCTCTCTCTCTATAAAGAACTCTATCAAGATTTCAATATCTAATGTTAATACCTGTGTAACAATATAATCAACCATTAATATTGTTACACAGGTAAATATATGTTTTAATTAATGTGTTAATAATCTTTGACGGCCGCTGTGATCTAGCAGTTTAGCACATACCTTACTCTCGGTGGTCGCGGATTCGTGTCCTCACACGGTACAAATAAGCATTCATGAGTATTATTGTATGTATCCGTCTGGGTTTGTTCTATATATATTATATATGCATTTACAAATAATATATTACATGTATTTATATCCGTTGTCTAGTACCTATAACACAAGCTCTGTTTAGCATGGCACTAGATGGCATTGCGTGAATTTTCCAGGGATAGCATGTTGTAATATTATTTCTCCATTTAAAACAATGTTTATTGTAAAAAAATATATTATTCTTCACTGTCTATGCCCCGCGGTTTCAAACGCATAAAATTATCTATGTGATCTTTTATACTACATAGATGGTAAACAAACATACGGCGCATCTGATGGTAAATGGTTACCGTAGCCTATGGACGCCAGAAACACAAAATATCACGTTCGCGTTACCAACGTAAAACTATTCTGATGTATAAGCAATATTACTGCAAACTTTCATCAAAATTCGTTCAGTAGTTTTTGCATTAAAGAGTAACAAACTTCCATCTATAGGTACTAACAAACTGTCGCGATTATAATATTAGTAAGATATATGTACCTACTTAGTACTTAGTTGTTGCATTTTACAATTACTATAATTTGTATGACTGTTCATAAACAGATATTGATCCTATGTAGTAAATAAAACCTGCTTGAGTAGATAGACTACGTGTATTAGGTATATCTTATAGAGGCATTCTTATTCGATTTCTTTCATATACAGAATCGAATTAAAATTCAAAGTATTAATATTTTTATGTTGTTAAAACTGTGATTTAGACCTACATACGTCATTAGAATTTCTTACGTACATATGGTAGATATTACCTACATTCTGTAAACTTTAATAAACTATAAGAAAAAGCTCTAGTAACTGAGTGGATAAGTGTATATAAATGACAAAAGATGTCCTCAAAATAATGGTATATATAGAAATAAAGATGGACATCTCGGACATTGCGGTGTAGGTGAACTAGTAATGTGTTAAAGGATTAAGGTCAGGTCATAGTAATGGCCGTCAGGCGACGAGCGGGTGCGAGAGCGGTGCGTGCATCGCCAGTGAGAGCGGAGCGTCGAGTGAGTTCAGCTTAGCGTCGTGCGCCGCTCGCCCCTATTGGTCGTTCCGCGGCGGCACGCCCAGGGGAGGGGGCACTCACACAGTCACGCTCACCTAAGATAATTTATTTTATGTTATACCGTTTGAATATTTTATATCTGTGTGAGTTTTTTCGGTCGGTATGCGTTCAGTGTGAAATATTCGCGCGATAAGAAAGAAGAGGGGAACAGATCGATCGGGACGTTGCGCTTTTTATTTCGATACTTGACGGTGTTGTTGCCAAAGCTTAATTGTAGGTACGTTATCTTCGACTATTTCATAATCATATTAGTTGGATGATAGGTCTATTGTGTTTTTAATTAACTGTGATATGTATATTCAAATGGTCTAGTAGGTACTATTATGTTTACCTTATTAATTTATTGCATAAGCATAAGCTCTTAAATTAGTGTAATCCCTAACGATGATAACGTCTAAAGTTTGTATGGGGAATAAGATCAACCTTATATTTAAAATATATTTTTATATTCGCATTCTTAAATAACACACGTCTAACTTCATTGTTAATATTGTATATAATGTTATAGTTTTCTTGTGAAAACTAACGTCTGTGTTTTGTTTTTCAAAATGGGCACTATTAATTTTTAGTTTACTTAGATAAATTCCAATATTATAAAGTCTATAAATATACGTCTATAACGTACTAAATGTGTAATGAAATTAGAGCTCAGTCTGTATAATTTGTAGATAAAAACGTAATTTATACACACTCAATATAAACTTACCTTTAAATATATAATTACAAACAGGCTTCTAAGTTATACTTTAATAAATTTATTTGTTTCACGTAACCATACTGTATGTTATGACAAAACGTAAGCACTTGCAGCTGAATGCTTATAGAGAACGTATTGCATTTTAGAAATCACGAAACTAGAATAGAATAGAAAATCATTTATTCAAATAAACTTACATTGAAGCACTTTTGAATAGTCATTACATTTTTTTTTAATCTACCGCTCGTTCGGAAACCTGTCTCATCACAAGAAGAACGAGCAAGAAACTTGAATCTGTTACTAACTTGTATGACATTCTCTGTATTACAGGATTTAAAATATTTCGTAGGTATTATCGAGATTATTATGATCTGTATACCTTATAGTTTATGCTTGTTTATTTATCTAAGAGCCTAGGTAATAATAATTCACTATAGTAGTATAATAGTCCAATTAACAGAATCAGTTGTCAAATTAGAACAATACTCGTAGCTTTTATTTAGAACTTTAGTAAAAACAAACAAACAGTAAAAGTATAGTTAATTATCTGATTTTAGTTCATATTAGTGAACTATCTTATGAAACTGTTTATTTAAGCTTATTAACATATAAATATGCTAGTCTATAAATATGCCACATGATATGGTAGGGACATATCTTTAATTTTACTATAATAGTTTAGATCCTATCATCTATCTTCAATGTTTGTGCTCTATTCAATTAATAGATGCGTTATATATTTGTATATAATAGTATTTAATCACTGTAATTTCTTTCCATGTTCTTATAGTCGAATACATGACAGGTAAAATACTGTTTATCGCAACTTCAGAAGTCTCGACACCGCTATAACTTAGCGTATAATATCGTACGCAATACATGTACAGTCAAGATAAACACATTCAAAGACCGTTTAATACTGTCACCGCTAACATGTTTCCACCGCTAAAGCGACCCCAGTAATATAAGCTATCGAGTACACAACAGGCCACAGCCGCTGACTTCACAAGCAGCCAGCTATGGAGAACTACTAAGGTATTCGCGTTCCACGTTGAAGTAAAATAAAAATTACAAATGTCGTGGTAACCTTTAATCAAATGCAAAGCTATCATTAAGTCGACGCTTCGGCAAACTCGCTCGTCGTGAGCAGCGTCACTGTTAATTATCACAATATATATGTATAAAATGAAATAAAAGAGACCGCTCTGTACCAATACTAACATAAAAAATACGAGAAAAGAAAGAGAAGCTTTAAAAAAGAAAGGAGTGCATCTACCCCCACCTCCGATCGCCCCCACCGCGTCGGGCCGCCCCTGCGGCGGGCGCCACCCACCGCACCGCAAAAATCGAGAGCGTCGACGGCGGCGCGGGGTCAAACGGCGACGCGAGCGTGAAAAGAAGGAGCGGTGTGCGAGCACGACGCACACCAGTGGAAGTGTGCGTGTGCGCGCGAGTGGGACGGCCGACGAGGGAGCGAGACGGCGGCGCCAATTACTATCACCTGGCGGGCTGCTACCGCATTACCCACTGCCGCCGCGCGCGCGACCACGCGCCCGCTGCACCACGCGGCTCGCTCCGCTCTTGTGACTCCGACTCTGCACTTCAATCGATATTCGCACCGCCGCGTCCGCTACCGTCGCGAGTGCATCCCGTTACCCTAATCACAGCTTTACGCGTCTCCTCGGGGATGCACCGTGGACAACTTTGCCCCGTGTGGTAGTGCCGCCGCGCAACATGCAACTGTGAAGTGTGTGCGGACTGTGACACAAACATTACGCGGAACGTGCTTATTTACAAGTTTATTGTCAAGTTGTCATTGTGAACGATGACGTCCCAATTCGCCTTCAGGGGATCTCCACCGAATCAGGTAAATACATTAAACTTGAAAACTTCCTTCTAATTTGCCGAGTCAATATTTACTTGGTAACTAGTAATTTGTAAAACTTTTGCAGAGCGATCTAAGTAACTTTTAATAACAATGTAACTTATCTGTCCGATTTAACGAACTGTCTCCAAAGTAAAGTGGTATATTTATGTGTTTACTTGACATAAAACACACTGGATTCGTAAACACAGCAAGAAAAGAATGATCTTTTAATATCAAATTCACTTAATATCGAGTTAAATACAATTTATTTTAGATTTTACACATTCACACAACAATGAAACTTGTCTCGCTCGTATATTTGCAATATTATTTTTAAATTCAATTAAAGTTATAGTAGATTTTTATAAATCATTTTTGGACGAAAAATGTCACTAGATTATTTTTTTAATGTAAAATAATCGTTACTTAATATTTACGTGCACAATAAAATAAATAAGCCTATAGGTAGCCAGAAGAATTTAGGCCCGTAGGTACTATTTACTTTATATACCTAATTAGATTGATGGAATAAATCTTGAAGTTAAACGCGTAAACACTCATTTTCACTCATTATTTATTAAATTGACACATTTACAGATTTATACCAAAAATAAAATTTACCATATTGTAATCAATTACCTTATCAAAATTATTTTTAGTCTATAATTTTTTTAGCTCAATAAATAAAAATTGTTAAAAATTTTCTATCATGACCGTGAAGGTAGGTCGTGCCGTTTTATTTTTTTTAAGGAATAAATTCGTTTGTATCATATGAATAAATACGTAATATTTACAATGCAACACTTATTTTACTTAAATTACAACAAATTCGGAATATAATAGATTAATAATAATAATAATAAGAGATATGATAGGTATGGGTACCCGTATTTTATTTAGTTACAACAAATTTTAGTTCCATTCGATTTTTAAACCATAACGCTTCATACATTTGTTACATAACGAAAATAAAAATTTTTTTGTTCATTAACAATGAAATATTGTTTATTACATACAGTGTAACACTAAATAGTTATTGATGCATATCACAGTTCGTAACAAGTCAGGATGGCCATTAATTATAAGAGTGAATAATTTAATGTGTAGGTAATGTACCTATATGTACAAAACCACGCACATGCAATGTAATGTTACTATTTTGTTACATTACATCTACATGTTCGTTACATTACATGTAGGTACATGTTTACGATTAGCAGACATTAGTAATTTAACATACATTTTCGTTTGTAATGTAACATATAACATCTCAGAATGTTGCATTACATTACAATTTTTACATGACTTAATACTTTTAAATGTAGCAAACTTCCGCTTAGAAAATAGTAATTTTACAGAATGTAATGTTATTTTAAGTATTTAATTACATTTGGTTAATACAGATTTTTAATGAGTATTCTCATATATGAGGGATGGAAGTGAATCATTTTATTTATTGGGTGTAGTTGATATTCATATCACAATGTTAGGTTTACACGCCGGAAACTGTGAACAAAATGGGAGTCGACACTGCATACCCACTTCAATTTCATTACTTGTTTAGTACTAAATAATAATGTAGTGTGTAGTATGTAATAGCCCACAGAAATTTCTATTTGCCTTATGGTTAGAGAGAAAATGCCTTATGGTGCTAAGTCTGCCATCATTTATTTGTGTTAAATTTAACACATAAATAATTTTATGCTGCGATATATCTTTTATTTCTCTCTATCCATTGGGAATTGTTTAGGCAGTGAATTATAATATAATTTTGTTATTGACTAATTGTACAATAACATAGATGGATGTAGGTAGGCGTATATTAACTACCTACCTAATTCAATGATCATAATTATAGGTGTTAGTTAAATAAATCTGAGAATGTTCCGGTTTGTATGTTCAGTTAATATGAATACATTTTGTTAAATATATATGTTTATTTAAGTATATTATATGTTTACATACAAATTATAATAATAATAAAAATAGACCCGAAGTGTGACAGTCTATGAAAACCAACAAAATATAATTTAAATAAACTGTCTTACTTATGATTTCGTATAAACTAAACTAGTTAGAAATAGAAATAATCTTTATTCAAATAAACACATTACAGCACTTTTGAATAGTCATATTTTGATTTTAACACTCATTCGGAATGCAGATTCATCACAAGAAGAATAAGCAAGAAACTTGTATGTTGCTCTTTTTAATAGATGTTTTTTTATATAAATAATTACAGTGTAACAAGTAAGAGGCATGCGATATTCAACATAGAAATCGCTACGCACTCATTATTAGTGTAATTAGATAATATTGTCAGTGCTATGGATTTAAAGTTTTTCTATGAAAACATTATTATGGTTAACGAATTCTTCAATTTTATAGTAAGCTTTTTTGCAAGGGAACTGTTTTATTTGACATTTAAATCTTTGTTCTGGCAGATTTATAACAGACTCTGGTTAATTATTTAACTATACATATAGAAAGAGAATAAACTACAGAAGTTAAATCCATTGTAATTAAATAAATATTGGAATCCGGGTATTATATGGTGGTTGTATGGTTTATATGGTGATTTTCACATGCAGATTGAGTTGATATAGTACCTTATCTATATTATCTACATATAGACGACCTCAGTGGTCTAGCGGTTTAGCACACCGCTTTACGACCGATGGTCGCAGGTTCGATTCCTCGCACGGCACAAACATTTGTATTCATGATTATGATTGTTTGTATCGGTCTGGGCATTTTCTATGTATAATATGTATGTATTTACAAAAAAAAACTATGTATATGTATCAGTTATCTAGTACCCATAACACAAGCTTTAACTAGCTTAACTTGGGTCTAGATGGCGCTGTGTGAATTGTCCTGAGATTATTATTATTATTTTATATATGTATCTAATATTTCTAGTCATGGAGCTATTATACAGTAGAAGAAATAGAGAAGAAGAGATTATTACTAATAGGATATTCTATAACTAATAATCCCTCCTCCAGCAAAAGAATATTATCAAGTTACATTTATTACAAACTAGCTACTTACCCCGGCTTCGCACGCGTGTACATGTATTATATATATAAAACATCCTCTAGAATCAGTCTATCTATTAAAAAAAACCGCGTCAAAATCCGTTGCGTAGTTATAAAGATTTAAACATACATAGGGACAGACAGCGATAGCGACTTTATGTTATTCTGTGTAGGTGATTCGTGTAGCTAGCGGAAGTGCCTAATACTTATAAAAGAGGTGGAAATAAACTACCATTTACCACCGCCTACCATCCCCGTTTCAGATTATTTTTTTAATTAGGTATAGTTATTACATTAATTGTCGTAGATAGTGTGAGTACCTAATATGTACTTATAAAAGACGTGGAGATAAAATTCGGAATGGGGTTCTATTGTCCCCCTCTCAGATTGAGATAAAGTATAGCCCGTGTCGCTTCTTATGATAATATCTATCTTTACGTCAAAATTGATTAAGATCCGTTCAGCCGTTCAATCGTGGAAATGTAGGTAGTATAAGTATGGATATTACTTGATCGAATTTAAAATAGTTTTAATAATAATAATAATAATCTTAAGACAATTCACACAGCGCCATCTAGACCCAAGTTAAGCCAGCTAAAGCTTGTGTTACGGGTACTAGATAACTGATACAAGTACATAGATATTTTTTTTTCGTAAATACATACATATTATACATAGAAAACACCCCGATACAAGCAATCATACTCATGAATACAAATGTTTGTGCCGTGCGAGGAATCGAACCTGCGACCATCGGACGTAAAGCGGTGTGCTAAACCGCTAGACCACCGAGGTTTTGTTGAGATATAATCTATTGAGAGAGAATAGTTTTAACTTCTCTTCTTCTACTCTTCTCTCTATCTCCCAAGTGACGGTGGATGTAATTACCATACAATTCTAGATATGCATAGATATATATATTATCGTTTTGTATGAACATAGTTATTATTTTGGACTCAAGCACTTTCTATCTACTTGGCAATTAGCTAAGTTTATTTTAAAGTAGGTTTATAGATAGATAGATAAAAATCTTTATTCGTATCCCGATAACAAAGAGAGTACAAACAAAATTCAAATAACACATAAGAATAGTAAATAATTATAAAAAAGACAACACATAACACTTTATTATATTACTGGTTGCTGGACAAGTGTTTTTATGACATCAAAGAATATTTATGTGATGATTGTTGACTTTTTTTTATTTATTTTCTTTTATTACTATATAATTAGAATGGTACATAAGACATTAATTTTAAATTATAATATTATAGATTATTCCATTTTAATATACCCAAAATTTGCATGCCCGTAAATTGGGGCAATTAAACAGTTGCCAATAATATTATTACATGGACATATTATAATATCTAACTGTATAATACGCAAATAAATAAATAAATTTCATTTAACTTATACATAAATGAAACATAAAATAAAGTTTATTAAATAAATAAAAACACAATCGCTATTTTCATATCATATGATTTATTATCTAAAATGAAAATTAGCTAAAATGAATTTAAAATTAAAACCATAAAGTTGATTTTTCAAAATGTTGCGTCTTTTGTTGTTTAAATAATAACCCTGGGCGATACACACAGCGCCATCTAGATCCAAGTATAGAAGAGTTTGTGTTATGGGTACTATACAAGTGATTGAAATACTTAAATACGCTTTATTATTTCGTAAATACATACATAATATATATAGAAAATATCCAGACCAATGCAAGCAATCATACTCATGAATATGTTTTTACTGTGCGAGGAATTGAACGTGCGAATGTCGGAAGAAAGACTGTTCTAAAGAGCTAGACTACCGAGCCATTTATACAATATGTGTTGTTTTATGTGTGTACAATATAGTTTCTTTTTCAAATTAAATAATAAGTTATACTTTACCGTTCGCTCATACAATCTAATTCTTTAAATAATTTCTCAATTTAAATCTTTACGC